CACGTTTTTTTTTTTTTGGGGGGGGGGGTAATGAAAGTATTCCAAAACGCGAAATTAACTTCTTGACGACTTAATACATACATATTTTAAGGTTAAGTAAATCACCCATGTTTTTACAGTTAATATCTTGTAAGTTGAAATACTCTTCAATGTACATACGCATTTCAAGGTTGACCTCAGAATGCCATAGTGTTTAGTATACAAGTTTAAGTTGTACAGGGTCACAGTGACACCACACTGGCGTTCTAGAGTTAAGTAAATCATCTATATTTTTACATTATACTCCACAAAAATTTTTCTCAAGTTTATGCTGAAGAGGCTAACCAAGTTCAGACACTATAGTTTTAGTAAAAGACACCAGTTTTGGAAAAGTTAGGAAAAAAAATTTGTACCCCTGTAAAACGGGTTCTACTGTGGAGCACCGATGTTGAGCTGAGAAGCTACAATCAAGGTGAAGGCGCCTGGTTTGTATTGTCGTTACGAAGTTTCAAAGACAACGGGTATGCCACCTGGTGATAACAACAAATAAACTGTACTTAACTATTTGGAATTATTGTTGTACCGAAACATTATCATTTCATTTAAATAATAGAAAAAAACGACCTTAAAACACCAACATTTGTTTTCAATTGGACACTTAACGTTTCTAAAGCGTTCCAATAAGACACAGACTGTAACTGACAGTACAGAGTGTCTTTTGTTCACCAATGTGCACTAAAAAAAATTAAATAATGGATTATCATTTCACGTTTCAGTGTAGAAGTTAAATCTTTCAACAATATATACTGTCATATAAACAAAAAGTTAAACAACACGAACTACGTTTAACTACCCAAACTAATTTTTAATTTGCCGAAATTATTCGTTTTGTAAGCGTTTTTTTATTTTCAATCCAGATTACACTGTTTTGTTTAGAAAAGGGGTCCACAGTGTATTGTTGCAACGTGAATTGGGTCACAGCGGTATTTACAAGTGGTGTTACCATGCTATATTAGTTAATTTTTCCTCTCCTCTGCTGTGACTATTCGACCACTCGACTGGTACTAATTCACTTTCCTTAGAACTAAGCTGTTGTAGTATGTCTTTATTACAGATACCTAGGAAGATCTAATCTCACTAGGAAGATGGGATAATTCCGCAACAGATATCTTTATCAAACACTGTAAGAAGATTTATTGATCAAAGCTTTGTCAAAACCAACAAAAAATGATCACCACACAAGTCCTACGTTAGTAACATTACAATTTTACAGTATGACTTCATCATCACCATCTGTTAACATTAACACCAGTATCAATACTGTATAACTCTACAAGATGACGTCATCCTCATCTGTTAATATTTACACCAGTATCATTACTGTAGAACCCTGCAAGATGATTTCATCATCATCTGTTAATATTTACACCAATATCATTACTGTAGAACCCTACAAGATGATTTCATCATCATCTGTTAATATTTACACCAGTATCATTACTGTAGAACCCTACAAGATGATTTCATCATCATCTGTTAATATTTACACCAATATCATTACTGTACAACTCTACAAGATGACGTAATCATCATCATGTTAACATTTACACCAGTATCATTACCATAGAACCCTACAAGATGATTTCATCATCATCTGTTAACATTACACCAGTATCATTACTGTAGAACCCTACAAGATGACTTCATCATCATCTGTTAATATTTACACCAGTATCATTACTGTAGAACCCTAGAAGATGATTTCATCATCATCTGTTAATATCTACACCAGTATTATTAACGTAGAACCCTACAAGATGATTTCATCATCATCTGTTAACATTTACACCAGTATCATTATTGTAGAACCCTGCAAGATGACTTCATCATCATCTGTTAATATTTACACCAATATCATTACTGTAGAACCTTACAAGATGACGTCATCATCATCTGTTAATATTTACACCAGTATCATTACTGTAGAACCCTAGAAGATGATTTCATCATCATATGTTATCATTTACTCCACTAACTTTACCGTAGAACCCTACAAGATGATTTCATCATCATCTATTAACATTACACCAGTATCATTACTGTAGAACCCTACAAGATGACTTCATCATCATCTGTTAATATTAACACCAGTATCATTACTGTAGAACCCTAGAAGATGATTTCATCATCATCTGTTAATATCTACACCAGTATTATTACCGTAGAACCCTACAAGATGATTTCATAATCATCTGTTAACACACCACCAACAATGTTAGTGTAGCAACCTACAAGATAAATAATTCATAATATACAATAACAGAGTACACTAAATTGTAGTCCTGAATTCAAAGAACAAATTACAGTGTTAACTACTACAAAACATGTACCACACTGTTTACTATAATGTCAATCTAAACACACTGAACACTCCCCTGAGTTGGCAGCTGTACAACTGATATATATATATATATATCTATATTGAGCAGCTAAGCCTACATTGAGTGGAAGGTGAGAATCAGTTGTAACTGGTGTTCGTTGAAAGATTACCACATTTACATAGACAGTTGAGTCACCATCTGGGTCAAAGGTCAGTACAACTGACCAAACTTGACTCACTTCCAGAAAACTAAATTCATCTTAGATTACTACTTTATTGAGGTAAATATAAAAACGTCAATCGATCCCTAGAAAATAATAGTCTTACAATGAGGGACAATTCTGATGAAAGATGGACTACACCATTTTTCGTTTCCGTATATAAAAAACAAATCTCTAAAATGAAAACAGTTATGTTGAAAATAAATCCAGTTACAAATTCTCGACCATGAACTGATGAAACTCAAACATTGTACCAATTGGTTAATAACAGTTACGTATATTGATAGATGGTACTGTTATAATAAGTTTTGGTTTTCTTTCCTGGCTAGACTTGTTCTGTGAGTAATGGATTATATATCTGTTCAGAGTTTCAGCTTGATCAAGAGTATAATAGCTTACTAGGTTACAGAACATAATTCAGTAGTGCTTTATTGTCCTGTATATGTCTGCATCCATCACAACAATGCCACTTTTTCACAAGAAAAGAAACATAATGAAATTAAAAAGGCAGGCTAAGAAAACGTCTTGTTGTGAGGATCACATGACTTGTGAAAGTTAGCCTATTTTTCACAATTTTTTTTTTTCCAAATTGGATTTCTTTATATCAAATCAAAAGTGGATGTAAGCATGCAAAGCATTTTAATTTTGCTTAAAATTAGCCTATTCTATTACTTCAAACAAAGAGTTGTCAACTCTGGCAATGAACATGTCACTTTGATGCCTCATCTTATGTAACTGTTACACACACTTTGGATCTCCCGATGAAAGGAAATTGTACTTCTTAAAACACACTAAATATTCTCACTTATGTTTTTGACATCCATGTTTTAATTGTTTTCCTGTAATCTTTATTTAATTCGTGCAATATTAAAGCATGAAGATGCCTAAAGATCTATTTCCCCATATCAACTCAAAATTAGATAATTCTCAGAGTAAATTACCAGTTAAATACTCAAAAGTATATTTTTTATGCTACAAGTTAACTTAAAACTTCACAATAAATAGAAGAGACCTTTACTAACCTGTCTGTACAATTTTATCCAACACAAACCTCAAGAAATTCATCTTCGTGTCTCGAAGGAACCATTATTCAAAGCTGTGCATGAAAGGAATATTTACATGATCAAACAATCACTGAAGCTTCTGATTGGATTTAGTTGACTCCCATAAAGAAAAACAGACAAAGATTGTTCAGAACATTTCTGTTCATTCATAAAGTTATGTACATAGTTTAAAACTGAGGTTGTAACATACTTGATGATATGTAACACTTATGTGGAAAATGATAAATGTGTAAAAGTTCAAAAGACAATATTGTAAAGACTAGCAGAAACGTCACCCTACAGGTGGCTGTTTGTACCAGTAATTACTAATCGTAGTATTCATACTACAATGAAACATATTTAGAAAAGTGAACATTTTCTAAAAAAAAAAAGGATTTTTTTCTGAAGTAGTGCACAGGAAATATGTTCAGATTGTGGTCTTTAGTCATATACAACTTATTACATCAAAATGATTCACTGTACAGAGCTCAAAATGTTCATAGGTTTTATTGATATAAGCTGTAACGTTTTTATATATTAAAAGCGATACCGTTTATTGAAAAAATATTTTTTCAAACTAACTCCACTTTATCATCACTACATTTAAAACATTACATCAATATAGATATAATGAAACCCTCATGTACAGTCCTAGTGAAAGTCATATTCTTGTTGTGAGGAGAGTACTATTATTTAAAATTGTGTTTCATTATTGTCTGAATCTTGAATACCCAAAGTATGAAATTTTTTATTGATTTTTGTTTGTGGTGCCATTCAATAGATAGTGCAGGAATTTTGGTTACATACATAGATACTGACATACATCTATATCTATTATAGTAAAGATTAAAAAGACTTTGAATGGACTACTCTACTGAACAACTTAGTTGTAAACTGCAAAACTTCTAATGTTAACTTTATAGTCAAACAATAAAGCAGGAAATAACCTACGCAGTAGGACAGTTGCCGTTAGTAACACAAATGTATTTTGGCACAGCAGTTTGTTCCACTAGTTTTTAAACAAAATGTGACATTTTAACAAAACTAATATTCAATCGTTTTTTGAAATCCATTCATATTTAAAGTACCTTTTTTTTTAATGTGAATGACTTTTTCCCAGTATCAAACTTAATCAGAAAATTTAAAAATAAAATGTATTATAAAAAGTCTTAATTATAAAACTTTTATTTCTTACTAAGTTTCTCATTTGTATGTGAACCAAGGTAAAACTTTCTGTACACTTAGAAAACACAAGCTAACCTTCTTTTACATTCACGAAACACAACGTGAAATATGAGGGTGATGTTCTAACTAGGTGAAGAATGTCAATGGCTGGGTGACAACAACCCCGTGGAACAGTCAACTGTCATTTTGTGAATCATGTTCACTTCTATTCTATCGTCACATGGACGAAGAGGGTTGCTGAGACAATCACTGAGTGATAATCATCAACCAGGTGAATGTGACGATAACCTACAGGTAGTAAGAAGTTGTTACAATCGTCGTAAATTAGAATATAGTTGGAAAACAACAACAAAAATACTTACTAGTCAATTCAACTGATCATATTGCCTTATATTAAACATGACATGCTTTATTAGTGATCCACTTTAATGTGGTAAAACACAATAAGCCCTAACCAAAGTACATCTCAGTCGACACTAAAATACAATTACATCAAAATTTTTAGTAAGTTTACTCGTACTCCTCCATTACATTTACAGCATAGAAAATTTCTTAATAGCACTTGAATGCAATGAACTGTAGTTTTAAACTTCTACACCTATTTAGTTTACTATAAAAACTCCAAAAAAGTATGAAATATCACACTTATTTCTAGCACTGCACCTCTGTCTGGAATCCACTGTACTTCTGTCTTTAACCTACTGCACCTCTGTCTTTAACATACAGTACCTCTGTCTTTAACATACAGTACCTCTGTCTGGAATCCACTGTACCTCTGTCTTTAACCTACTGCACCTCTGTCTTTAACATACAGTACCTCTGTCTGGAATCTACAGTACCTCTGTCTGGAATCCACTGTACCTCTGTCTTTAACCTACTGCACCTCTATCTGGAATCTACAGTACCTCTGTCTGGAATCCACTGTACCTCTGTCTGCAATCTACCGTACCTCTGTCTGCAATCCACTGTACCTCTGTCTTTAACATACAGTACCTCTGTCTGCAATCTACCGTACCTCTGTCTGCAATCTACAGTACCTCTGTCTTTAACATACAGTACCTCTGTCTGTAACCTACTGTACCTCTGTATGGAATCTACAGTACCTCTGTCTGGAATCCACAGTACCTCTGTCTGGAATCCACTGTACCTCTGTTTTAAACATACAGTACCTCTGTCTGGAATCCACTGCACCTCTGTCTGGAATCTACAGTACCTCTGTCTGGAATCCACTGTACCTCTGTCTGTAACCCACTGTACCTCTGTCTGTAACCCACTGTACCTCTGTCTGTAACCTACAGTACCTCTGTCTGTAACCTACAGTACCTCTGTCTGTAACCTACAGTACCTCTGTCTGTAACCTACAGTACTTCTATCTGACCAAAAACACTTCAAAATTTCTAAAGAAATTACATGCACACCACACAATACCATTAACCTAATACAATGTAAAAAATGCAATCACCAGTATGTAGGACAGACCAAAATGACTTAGAAAGCATTTCAATAATCCAAAATATTCTATTAACAATGAAAAATACCTCCCTGTTGCCTACCACTTTAACCAACCTGATTATTCTATTAATGTTGTGACTCGGCACTGAAACCAATTTCAAAACTAAAGCTGACAGAGAAATTAAAAGAAGCCTACTGGATTGCTACTCTAAGTACTGTTCAACCTTGTGAATTAACCTAGAACTTGGAGTAAGTGATCTCCAATCATTGGTTAGTTCTGTCAGAAAAATCAAGTTTATTTTTAGTGTGAATTCTCTATTTGTACCTGTTATCTTTCTTGGTACTTATTATTTATTTATTTATGATAATTTTCCATGTTTATCATTTTAACACTAATATTTCATGTTATCAATTCTATCTGTTTAACATTTTCTGTTTTTAATCAATCTTCATATCTCACCTTTATTTTACGTTATCATTTTCCCACACTGAAAAAGAGATTTCCGATAGATACTTACCTCTTCTCAAACAAAAGCTTTTCCCAATATTCATCTGCCCTCTAATGTATTAAAAAATCTATTCTCATTTGACTCACCCTTAGCTCATGCTGCTCATTTAGCATGCAGAGCACATGCAACCACCTTCTATCAATAGGAGCACAACACACACTCCTGGAGGTAAGTATCTATCAGAAATCTATTTTCAGTGGAGGAAAATGATAACTTCCAATACGATACATACCTCCTCCACACAAAAGCTAGAATCCCACACTGATTAGATGGAGGGACCGGTGTAACATAGAAATAAGAGACTTCCTACAGAAAGCATCCACAGGGAGTCGAACAGGTGTGCTCAGTAATTGAATGAAAGCACACACGAGGGGGAACTGCACCACTACTGGAACAGGTATGCCTTTCACCTTTGAAGAAGTGAGGTGTCATGAAATGAGTGGCATCGAGAACCAACCAATAATGAATGGCCTCAGAAAACCTTAGAGCAAGACTCTCCCCAACCCCAAATGGACAGATGAGGTATTACAAGGTGGAGGACAGTACCAAAGAATCAATGGAGTATATACTATGTACCATGGCCAAGGCAAGCAGACTGTGAAAAAGATATATAGAATAACCCCAACTACAAGTAAACAGAGTGCCATACTGCACCACCTCAGTGGCTAGGAACTGGAAAGTGGTAAGGAATCCCAAACTCCACTTGAGGAAGGGAGGGTATAAGGCAGTGGGGAGTCCAGAAGAACTACACACTGGAGAAAGTGCAATGGGAAAGGCAGGGATGGGCAGAAATCTCTTTATGCTTTACTCATGATAGTTCATGAGTGATGGTCCACCAAGTATGAAATAGAATTATACATAGCTAGAAATATATATACCACTAGGTAAGTTGCTAGTGGTCTTGCAGAACAACCCATCTCAACAGTGTGTGTTATAACCGTAAAGGGAACAAGTGTGGGTTTTATTCTTTGTCTTGTTAAAGTAAGGCATACCTGGCCAGGCAACACTTGCCACTGAGCGAGATCTGAATATGTAACAAAAACATAAGAAGAGGCTCCTGTAAGAAAACAAAATAATATAAACAAAAAAACTCACCCAAGTTAGAGTTGAACTGGAGCACAGAGAATTGCCACTAAAGGATGACAATATCCATCAGAGAAGGATACAGCCAAATGATATAAGTAATGAGGTACAAAAGTATGAGTAGTAGTAGTGGTCCACATTCTGGCCTGGACAATCATCTCCACAGGATGACGAAAAAGCTACCAGAGACATAGTGATATGTCGAATCTGATGAACGGAGTCATGATAAAGAAGTCACCCTTTGGAGGAAAAGGAAGAGTAAGCCAACTGAATAAGCTAACTAATCCAACCCATAAGGGTGATGGGAGAAATACCACAAGACACTGAAGGATTCCAGGGATGAAACAAACATGAATGGGAACCATGCAAATAAGAAGTATGAGCAATATAGCTTTGTAAAGTCTGTACATGATACAGAAGGCGATTAGGATCTGGCCAGGAATAAAGATGGGATATGGAAGGTATGAAGATGGTAGTGAAGGCAGATTTGCTTTCCTGGACAGAGGAGGTTTTGAGATTGAAGGAATGGTCTGGACATAGGACAACATAGGTACTGTAATAAAAGGTACTGGAAACATCAATGCAAAAAATGTTAGACTGATGCTGACTGGAGAAGGAAATAGGTTTTAAGGGAAAGAAGATACAGGGAACAGGAAGACAAAGATTCAAAGGGAGGATGGGAAGGGAAAAAAATACAACATTAAGATCTCAATCAGGGAAAAAATACATTGAGGGAGAATAAGATGGCAGGACTGAAATAGGAGATGAAAAAACGCAGTGGAACACGTTTAACAAAGAAGCTTGACAGCCAAAAACAGTGGAAAATAAAAAGGTCCTAATGAAAGAGTCATGTGAAAAACTGGGAAAGATGAGAAATGGTAGGATGGGAAACCATGCCAGATAGACCAATGCCAAAAAGTATACCAACAGCATTGGTAAACTGACAATGTAGAGGAATGGACCTAACACAAAAGGAGAGAAGCAACACGCCATGTCAGACCCATGTGTATCGAAGGAACCTGACAAAAATCGATTGTGAAGTCAGAGGGTGAAGATGGCAGGATGAAAGATATTCAAATGAGATTGACAAAGAGTGACAGAGACAGAGGAGAGGCAGAGGAAATGACGTCTGTAGAGGTTTGTGAAGATGGAACCAAGGCTGGCCAATATAGAACCACCAAAAGTACCCAACACAGAGTGGCTTGGATGAAGGAGAGAACTAGGCAGAAAGGCATATATGTGGAGACTCCTCCAATCCTGGCTGAAGGCATCGACTCCCAAAGTCTGAGGATGAGGAACCAGAGACCAAAATGATGGCAGTACATAGACAAGAGCACAACCCTTGGAAAACCAGAGGATTCAGGGACCATTTCACTGGAAGGACTTTGTGCAGACATGGTAACCAATCCACTATGAGATTCAAAGCACCTGGGATATGGCAAGCTAATAACTGAATATGGTGCCCATGTCCCCAGAAAAGGAGATCCAGTATCCCAAAACAAAGGGACCTGGATTTAGTACCCCTCTGCTTGGAGTTGTTGGAATGCACCAGAAATCACAATCCACTGCAGAAGATGGAGGAAATGAGACATAGCCCAACAAACAGCCAATAGTTCCAGCAGATTGACATGAAGCCCAGATTCTGCTGAAGACCAATTCCTGGAAACCTCCAGTGTGTCAAGAGAAGCATCCATGAAAAAAGATGTCAATCTGGACGAGGAAGTGGAAGAGGATCACCTACCATAGTATTGGTTCTGTCCAACCACCAAGCAAGATTGGCCATAGGGAAACAGGCAGATCAACTGGAAGATCTAATGAATCTGAGAGGAAATTCCATTGATCAGAGAGTTCCCACTGAAGAGAACGCATGTGAGCGTGACCGAGGAGAATGAGTGCTTCCAAGGAAGCCCACTTCCCCCAAAAAAGATAGAACTTCTCAAGCTGGAAGAGAATGAGAGGATAGAGCCTTGACTACTAACAGCTCCATATCTCGAAAACAAAGCGGAGAAGGCTGTCCAAATGAGATGAGAAGCTTACTCCCCCAAAAAGATTGAACCTCTCAAGCTGGAAGAGAACGAGAGGATAGAGCCTCGACTACTAACAGCTCCATATCTGGAAGGCAATGGGGAGAAGGCTGTCCGAGATGGGAATTGAAGAAAATTCCCAAACGAATGAGATACTGAGTAGGGGAAATATCAGATTTCTCAACCTTGATGTACCAACCTTCTCTTGCCTCCTCCTTGAAAAGGAAATGAGTGTGTACTAAAGACGCCAAAAGGGAAGAAGCCAGAGGAAGCCAGTTGTTCATATAATGATGAGACCTGAGACCTAAAGAATAGAGATATTGAGCAAAGGCCCCGAAAATACGACAAAAAAACATAAGGGGCTGAAACAAGATTGAACAGAAGAGTCCGAAACTGGAATATATGCCCCTCATGAACAAACCAATGAAAAAGGCGGGAGGAGAGAGAGAGAGATATGGACATATGAAAATATGCATCTGTCATGTAGAACTTGGTCATTCATAGACCCGGAGTGAAAACCAAACAAAGGGACAGAAAAGTCTTCATGCTGAAATGAGGGAGGGGTGTGTGTCTAGAAACTGATTGAGACAGAAAAGGTCGATGACCAGTCACCAATTCCCAGTTTTTTGGGGTTGAGAAACAGTCGAGAATATAAACCTGGAAAAACAGGAACCACTGACTCTATAGCTTCCTTGAGAAGAAGCTCTCTCAGAGCTTCAGATATACAATTGCAGGAAACCAGATCTCTCTAAGGAGGGAACAGAATGGTGAAGACTTGAAGAGTAGGGAGAGACCCTTTGTTAAAATGTGGAAAACACACTAATCTGTAGAGAAGGGCTCCTAAACGTCCATGAAGAAGTGAAGCCTAGCCCCAACAGGATCCGATTTCATAGGATAATCACCTATATCATTACCGATGTTCGTGATGGGTACAGGAAAAACAAAGATAAGAATGAGGTGTTGACTTGGGAGGACGTGAAATGACAATCAGATCAGGAGAAGAGGAGGAGGAAGGTTGGGATAAATGATTGGCCAGGGAAGATAGGGAATTATGCAATCTGGCCACATCAACCCGGGACTCTAAAGAATTGGGGCAACCTCCAAACACAGTATCATGTAAGAATGGAGCAGCTCGTAAGTCCCTGAGGGAAGATGGGGGTAGGCGAACCTCCGCAAGCAGCACTGTTTCCCCAACAAGTCCCAACAACAAATTAGCCATGTAAGCAGGGAAAGGGCAAATGAAGAGATCCTCACCAATGTTGACCACAAAAGTGACCCAAGTCCCCTCCCAAATTGTTGACAGAACGACAAAACGCCTCAGATAAAAGTTGCATAGAAGAGAGGTAACATAAAATATTAGTAAGGGTGAGATGAGTCCTCGAAAATTGGGCTTGAGAAAAGAAGACTGAAGTCTCAGGATTAGAGCTCCAAAGAGATAAAAGTGGACTTAAATGCTGAGAATCCAAATAATGACTGGCAGATTGATGAAAGGCCAACTTTCTGTTGTTCAGAAACACGACAGGGTTGAAGCATGCTAAACCCTGAAAGAAGTTGAGACAAAAATCTTTGAACATGAATATCTATATCAGGGGAAGGAGGAAAAACCGAGTAATCAGAAGAAGGGAGCTCACCTAGCAGGGAAGAGGAAGCATCAAAGGATACAGGAGAAACATGCAAGATACCGCAAACCTGAGTAATCAACTGGAGGAATGGTGTTGAATGGCGAACTTCCTCCAAATGATCCTAAAATGAAGGTATAGAAAACGAAGAAGCAGAAAAGATGTGGTCAAAATCATCATCAGTTTAAAGGGGTGCTGCCCCATGAGGGTATGAAATCTCCACAAAACAAGAAAATCAAAAGCAAGCGGGAAACACATCTGATTCTCAGTGTGCCAATTCAGAAAGAGAGGGACATGAAATGTAATACAGAGGAAGCCAACTGCTCCACGAGTGTGTGTGTGTGTGTGTCATGTTCCTATTAGTGGAGGGTTATCACATGCACTATGCATGCTACATGAGCAGCTTGAACTGAAGGGGTAATAAGGCTAGCGAGAATAAATCTATTTAATGCATTAGAGAGCAGAGGAAAATTGGTAAAAGTTTTTGTGTGAGTTGAGGTATGCATCATATCAGAATGTATCATTATCTAATGTAGTTTTTCTCGACTATTTTTCTATTTTAATATGTAAGTAATACACTGTATCTTTGTCTGTGGATAACATGTCTATTGAACAAATTTCTCCTTACTACAAAAATTTAATTATAGCTTACCTTCAGTGATTGAGTTAAAAGGAAGTGCATAACGTCCTAACCTGAAGTTTCGACCAGTTATAGACTCATCTTTAACAGTGAATACAACAACAGCAAGATCTGGCATTTGGACATCAAAAGTAAGTGTTTCATTCCAAACAGGAAAGAAACCTAGGTGAAAATAAACAATTCACCATTCTGATTAACAGTAAATGATAAGAGTAATCTTTTAATTTATCATTACATATTACATATAGCTGATTTTCTAAAATTCAGTTGCTAAATGAGCTTTTAAACAAACTTACTAGTAAGTTTTTACTAGTTCTTACGATCTGTAGGATTTCTTTAAGTTTTCACTTGTACAATTACAATTTGTTTTTTTTTTATAGAGTATGATAGAGATAATTTTATTTTTGTACAAAAATAAAAACGTATTTTCTTCTAATTTAATTCATTAATTGCACTTACCTGCACTTAAATAACTGACAATTAATTACAGTCTGAAATATTAGGCTAAACAATCACATTCTACATAACATTATTACAGCTTTCCATGTTAATATTACATTTCAGTAGTGAACACTAACCATTGTTCTTCACAACACTTGTCTTCTTTTTATTGCTGTCTACAGGATGTCCACATACTTTAATACTAACGTAAGGGTCAACTATCTCTCCAACCGTAGCTTCTCCAGGCTTGGGAATATGCTGACCGCTTATAACCTAGTTCCACAGTGTTTTGAAATGTTTACCAATGTCAATATAAAACTTACAGACAGTTATTTGTGAGGATCAAAGATACCTACAGGTCTTAGTATACTCATTTAAAAACAGAATAATTAAATGTTTCTCCAAAAACATTAATTTTTTAAATTCATCCTTTTAATTAATAGCCTTCTTGTACAAGCAAATTAATTATTCAAAAGAAAAGTGTGAGTGTAACACAATTTAATGAAGTTATGCAACAAAAGTTATCTTGTAAACAATACGATTTTGCAGAAACAAAATTGCATAATTTTCCACAAATTTAAAGGGCACATCTTCTAATTTTTGTTATAATCATATATTTTTTGTGTGTAATTTTTGAATAAGAAATGAAACTAATAAAGTGGATGATGGTTATTTCCTGTAAGTTGTTGTTCCTATTCTTTGATAATAACATTCACACTTTTACTTCTAGGTTGAAATAACTACATATAATTACCCTACCATTACTGTCAAGGTTTTCTTATACCGATTTTCCACTAGGTTAGAGGGATCAAAACTTCCTGTGTTTCAAAAGAAATAACAATATTTTACTCTCCATGTCCTGTTAGATAACTTCAACAGTATGTTGCATGTTCGCATGAAAATTCAAGTAAATAATTAAGACTTCTGCTTCTATTGAGATCACTAATGAGTCAACTCTCACGAGTCAGAAAACATCCTTTTTCTTTTGTCTTCAAAGTTTAATATAGTAAATATTGTTAATTTTCAAATAAGAAAGAATCTGTATTAACTTATATTTCTGTAGCAAACTTGGGCAATATAAGATAAAATACAAAAAGTATTGCTTGTTTAGTTTATACAGAGAGAAAAACAGAAGAAAAAGAGATACACACAAAAAGGTGGAAGAGTGATAGGGAAAGATAAAGCAAAAAAGTGTATTTTGAAAAAATAGAGAGAGAGTATCATTATTTCGATCTTCAAACAAGTATGTTCAAGTAGTTTCGCCATTGTATAACCGAACAACGGTAATGTTTAGAAACAAGACATATCTTAAACTTTGTAAAAAGTTTGAACTCTGCAGCCTAGCTTAACTCCCAACAGATGCTATTAAAAGCAGTTCAGGAACAGATTAAAACACGTTGACCATATTTCAGCTTCTCTTATACACATGTACATCATCACAGAAGCTCACAACAGCTACTCACTATCTTCTTATATTAATTGTACTAGCATAAAATACATGCATTTTTCTATAGGGTTCAAAGGCCCACTCATGATTCACAGAGGCTCCAAAGTACCATTCAAGCTTCTCCATCATCACAATTATTTCTATATCTACCACAAAGGGGATTCATACTCCCCCTCCCAAAAAAAAAAGTTAAGAAACCTGCCTCTGGAACTGGAGCGTGTGTGCCAAGTTTGGTTCCACAAGCTTTTGAATGAGTTATGAACAGAGATTCAAAAATGGTACATCCAAAATCCTAAGATGGACCAGGAATATAAAATCTGTTACCAGATTTGAATTCAGCAACCTTGGAAACCTACTCTTAGAACCCCATCATGACTGGGTAATCTTATGGGGTTACTATAGATAAGGACATGCTAGCACTAAGACAGTGGGAGGCATTCCTAGACAGATTCACAAACACACAAGGTGAATTAAAATACAATATCACTTTCACCCATAGAATGCTTGTAAAATAAAAAGCCAGAAGAGAAATACTAATAAAAAAAAAGCAAACAATAATATTGTTCACAGTAGCTTGAACTAATCAGCTTAGAAAAATTATAAAGGTATACCCCATAGATCTCAGAACAGTCAAGCTTCTAAATATACAACACATTAAATCCTGTTTTTAAAAGTAATTATGATAAAAGAATAAAAAATTAAGCTTTTACATGCACGAATCCTCTGTTATCAAACTACTTAAAGATCTTACCATCTCTTAGAAAGTGGGGCTTCAATACATATCCACAATTTCCATTCAAAGCAAACTTAGCTTCATACAAGTATAGATATTTGTCAAATGTCTGGTAGTTGAGGGCAACTGCAGAGAAAAAACACACACTTTTGATTAGGTTCATGTCCTCAGCATTGGGTTACTAATAATGGACTTGAATGAATGTAACAATTTATCATAAAGCCCCTACCTAGTTGACATCCTACATTCCAGAAAGGCAGAGGACTGAAATTACTTGATCCTGTCCGTAATCCCTTGGGGTAGATTCTTGATAAATATTTTGTGGTGTGTTCCACAAACTTCTTCTCAGCACTGTTGATCTGATACTGTGCCTGGGTCTCGCTCAAAGAGGCCATTTCATAAAACTTCCCTAACGAAACAAATGGAAAAACTAATTCTAGCCAACTTGGCAAAATATGTACAGTGCATGGAATCGAACCTTCTATTAATTTTGGTTATATATACAGTGCATGGAATTCAACCTTCTATTAATTTTAGTTATATATATATATATATATATATACAGTGC